AAAAAAAAAACGGATATAAACGAAAGTTACAGCGAAACAAAAACTTGCTGAAATCGCTTTGAAACGGCCCCGAAACAGCATAGAAACACCAGTTACAAACAGAAGAGTTCAAGTAATTATTTTTATCGAATTTTGCTTCCATACCTCGAGCTGTTATATGCGAATGTTACATTCCCGTATAAACTGTTATATTTATGTTGTTACGCAATGTCATATAATGTTCACGGGTCCCGAGGAACTTGGAATATTTGTGCCATTACCTTATGAGTGTTTGCTAAACTTACAAAAAGATCACAAGAGTTATTCCTTACCTCAACCCAAGCGGTGACAGCGTTACAACGTGACCCAGAAAGATTAGCATTGTTGTTGTTGTCAGTGCGTTTTGGCGTCACTAACACAACAGGACGAGCATAAAATGGTTTTGTAAAGTTCACTGTCTGCAATGTAAAAGAAAAAAATAATTTAATATCGACTGTATTCCCGCGAGACTCTTTTAGAGGTAAGGTTGATAAATAATCTGGATTGGTATTTATAATGCGCTGATTCCAGTGTTTGGATTCCAAATCACAGCGGCTTTGACTTGAACAGGGCCGACCTGCACCGTTTACAACGGTCTTCATGATTGGCCAAACGAGACAATAGTTATACAACACAAACAATGCCCCTAGCCCTAGAAACAAAAGAGGTACGGATTGACAAGAACGAATCAAAACAGAAGTTTTAAAGAGGTGCAGGTCATCTGTTTGAACAAGAGGAAAAGTATGTTTGATTGGGTCTCAGAAACTATTTATGACATATTTTGTGGGCCCACAGTTCAAATAGTTACATGTTAACAGTCAATTTTAACTTCCTCCATTGTAATGAAAGCATTGCTGTTGTTGCCCTTTTGATGCCCTATTATAAAGAGGATTTAGATAAGAAACAATAATGCCGCGGGCTGGCAATAATTATTCTTACTTGACAGAAAGCGTAGTTATCCTGATCAGATGGTGAGTTTGTATTGGCAAACACGAGACTGTCGGTTATGGTAAAATTGTCAACACTCAGATTTGTAAATGCCATCCAATTCTGCAGAACAAATAAAAGATATTGTATTTAAAACCTGCCAATTATTCAAGAAATAAAAACATGCACAATTAAGGACTGTTTTAACCAACGTACAAGAGTACATGAAATTATCAGCWAGATACGCAAACCCAGTAAGATGTTGATAATTTGCCTTTTTTCAGAAAAAAAAATCTATAAAAGAAGCAACTCTCCTTGTATATGCATTCAGCTGCTTCCAGTCAACGGTTTCTAACACATGATTTCTACAAGTAGCTTGAGGTTTATTAAAGAGCTAACAAAAACATATTTTCTCTGTATTGTTTTCTTTTGAAAGCCAACGATTGATGTTTCGTATTGGTGCAAAAAAGACTCATTTGGAACAGCTTGAAAATGGAAGATGATCGGGCACGTCACATGGGAAGTTGACCTCTGATATATTTGGAACATCGTAACGCATGTAAATATTTCAGAATGCTGTTCTTTAGTCAGGGGTCATCATGGTTTTCATTCAACTTTGATGAAGTGCATATCTTTGGCAGAGCCTAGTTGATTAGAATGACAAGTGACAGAAAACGAAATTTAAATTTACTCACTATCTTAATGCCTTTATGGAGTCCATCGAAAATCTTTGCTTGTCTGAGACAAATTTTGAAATTGTCCACGCGCAACTCCTCCACCCACACGGCCATGGCATCTTGAGGTCTCTTAGGAACTTGGTGACTAGCAGTTACAAATATGGTTGGAGGAGTAGAAAACCGCTGAAATGATATAATGAGAGAAGTTAAGACTAGTAAATTAATCGAGTGCATGCCTTGGTGAATGACCGCATGAACAGATCAGCGAATGTGAATGATCAATAATGAGAGAATGCGTGAATGCTTGCTTGAGCCTTCAAATGTTCTTCAACTTACAGACATTTTAAAAATACAAAATGCCTCAAATAACAAATTAATATTTAATAGTGAGTCACGTTACACGCCGCAGAAAGTGTAAATATTTTCACAATCAGAGTCCGCCGAAGATATTTTAGTTATTCAAAAAGGGAACAATACGCTTAAATCCGAAAACTACTAATCAGCTTATTGTTAAGCGGTTTTGATCTTTTGCATTAGGAATATTTGCGTTTGATGAGGAAAAGTAATCTTTGTAGTTAGTCTCAATTGATAAATTAAAAACACTGTTTAATTTCAACAATTTTCAACATAGTGACATTAAACTCACGTTTTTCGATTGCATTGAAACAGTTTTCTGTTCAAGCTTAGCCTTATGTTGCTCGGTAACTTTATTTAAATTACAAGGCAATTGTTCTACTTGAGGCAACTTCTCTTCAAAAGAGGCGGCTTTTTAGTGTTTTTCTTCAGTTATTGAGGAATATTCCGTATTTAGATATTTATCCTCTGATGCTATTTGTTTCGAATACTTTCTGCTGAGCAATCACGCTATATTTTAATGGTCAGCGTTTGCACAAGTCACGTTTTAAAAGGACAGATGATCGACAATTTTCAGCAAAGAAAATTGATTGCCTGACTCGTGATTTCCACGTTAAATTTCGCGCGAGAAACCGATATCGCACAAATCGCGAAGTGAAGCGAGCTCGAGAAAGCGAAGCGAGAAAACGTTGACTGATATTCAACAACGTCCGGCAAACAGTTTTAAGTAAGAAATATTTTTACACTGAAATTAAAATTTCAATACCAGCTAAATTTTCAGCGTTCAAGTTCTTCGAAAGAACAACGAGTACTAGGCAAGATGTATTTCTCGCAGCAGAAAAGCTTTCTGAGAACTGCCGTTGTGCCATATTGCAAGTTAATAGATATATTTAGTGGGGAGTTGTTAAACAATGCCCGGCCAGTAAACAGTCAACTGAGAGCTCTCGCTGTAAATCACAAGTGATTGTTGCGTTGACTGCTGGTGGCGAAGCAGGCCCGCTGTTGACATCGCAATTTGTCGTAAACCTTGGGTGGAGCCGGAGCCGCTTCTAGTGTACGCAGTAGCGCTAAATGCAAACCCAGCCACCTTGTTTGACATACTTAGTCGTTTTTCAAGAGGCTGTAACTTAAAATTGAATCTATGTTAGCTTGACCTGTCAGCTCCGAGATTTTAAGCGGAAGAAAGCCGTCGCGTAGGCTTTTAATATGACTGCAGTTTTACGGTCGCCAGAGTTTGTGAATTTGCCATCCAAGGACGCGGTTGAGGCGATGGCCTTCGTCTAGTTTGCAAGTGTATTTCAGCCGAGAGGTGACATCTTATACAAGATACTTGGTGATGGTTTCTTAACTGAAACATTGTGACCCTTATGGGATGGCCTACATACTCAAAATGAATACTGTACTGTAGCTGTGCTTTTCTTAGTAGTTGGTGAGGTAATGTTCGCCTTGAAAGCTGCCATTTCGTCTTCTACGCATGTCCAATTGGCACTGGAGCTTCCTCGGCTGCCAAACTTTGCCTTGCGGATTTCCTTCGTTTCCTTCGGCCATTTTCTTGTCCAGGCCCGGTCGTGATTTTGTCGTTTTCTGGTATTCGGAATCGTAAGCGGTTTCTTATGTCTCTCTAAAAAGTTGTACTTCAGTTCAAAGCAGGGAGAAACTTCATTTTCACTTTGAAAAAGACTTGTG